TCCATGTAAGTAGTTGGATAATAATGATACTGACTTGTAAAGTGAAATGTCAAGTCTGTCCGCAAATCAATAATTTCCATATGGAAAATATTTACTACAGTGTAAAAATTTCTATGAGTTTCTACAATGTTTAGTACACAAACCAAAACTATATAATGGAATGTTCGGCCTTTCTGTTCATAGTTTACTGTTAAATTGACTATCTACTTGTTATTCCATAAATACCACTTCGACCAGTAGATAACGCCATGATTTATTAAGTAATATAACGCATTAAATAATCGTAGGCCCTCTAATTAGTAACTTTATTAATTAATAAGCTATGTAATTTGTCTAGCTGCTCAGTGACCAGTCTCCAAACCCAAGTGTGTTACGGAGCTTGATACTCCTTGTTTTATGACAAGTAGTTATTTGTGATCATAAAAATAAAGGGTACTAATTTACATTGTAGATAGTGGTAAATAAAATTCGATTAACCTAAATCCCTATCGTTTAACTCAATTCTCTAATATAGGAATAGGTTAGTTTCCTTATAAAGAGCGTCACGAAACTAGACGTAGATTAAATAGAGTATATAGAGTAGTTTAGGTTCGATCACGATAAATTGTTATTATATCATTTATCAGTTTAAAAATAATTATTGCATAAGAAATCATTCTTAATTAAATTATTTAATTCGAGATTTACGACAAGATTAATAAATTAGTAATACTCGGATAGGATACCTAGTTGCCATATTCATAATTTTAGTGAGCCTTATACAGTAATAGTATCTATTTTTTTAAATTTATTTTAAATATTGGATAAACATTGACTAAAATTCGTATCACAATTTTAGAGACATTGCCGGCTGTGGTATCAAAAAGATCAAAGCAAGTTTATTCAAAAATTTAAATCAACTAACAAACTTGTAAGCTTTCTATGAATATTTTGTTTTACAATATTCCGATATCATATAATTATGACTTAGATATTAGTATAGATATTATGTGTATGCTACATCTTAGAGTACTAAATTGCGACATTTCTTATTTATTGCGATAAACCAAGGTTTATTCAAGTAGCTGTACTGCTTTATGTTTACTCTGAAGAGTACGGTGTAACTCTGAAATCGTATAATTAGACGCTTCATGCCTATGTATTCAATCAGATTACGGAGTCAAATAGTGATGATTAAAAACAAATCGTGTTTGCTTGTAATTTTAGTCATTGTCTTAGACATCTGGTATTCTAGTTTCTTCATGTCATGCAGGCTAGTATTATCTGTTGGTATAACAGTCAATAAAATAGGACTTAAATTGTTTTATGTACATACGAGTATTAAGAAAATATATTTAGAGAATTGCTTTACTATATTCTAATAAGTTGGATCACAAAATTGTTTTGAACACTCCTGCAAAAAATCGCTAGATACATAACTGTAATTCGGTAAAACGATCAAGAAAAAATGAGTCACTCTACTTCATCAAGGCACTTTACAGCTTTATCGTTTTATAGTTTCTGTCTAGCAAGTACCGTATAAGCCAGCTCTTCTTTCAATTATTCTTCAATCATATGACTATTATAGGAATATTGATAACAATGAGATAGAAGTGATCAATAACGAATCGTTCTTGGGGCTATCTTATCTAAAGAATTTGTAAGTATTATGATTCTACCGCCTATCTAAACTAGAAAAATGGTTTCTTTATAAGCTGCTTCAATAGTTGCTTTCAGTAATTTCTGGAGTGCTCTAGAATTCGATATTTCCATTCGTTAAGTGCTTTACTATCACGAACCAGCTTTGTGATAAAGATAAAGTAAAACAAAACTCTAAATTCTATAGTTTCTGGGATCTAGTATCCCTTAACTATCTCGCAAGAATTTAGGCGCCTTTACTCCTACGTCAAGCAATTGTAGAACTTTTCTTTTCTTCAACATCTGCCGAGCTTAAATACCCTTCGGCAGCTTCTATCATGTATGAGTCATAACATTTCATGAAATTTAGCTCATATTGGACAGCTAAATTAATGCAGAAATTATTCATGATCTTAGACATGTATTGAAGGATTCTAGATGATTAGATTACAGTATATCCATACACAGAATTATTTATAATATCTTTTATAATTGAATATCTTTAGAATATTTATCGCAACCGTCACAAGACATAACGCCATAATCAATTAACATTAGTTACCATATGAGAACTCTTACTACCGTACAGCATAATTTACTGTAATAAAATAATAACTACCGTAGTTCTTACTGTAAGTTATTATTAGTTATCTCCATATATAAATCTTAACCGCTAAATTTAGCCATTTAGCTTTCACGGTGACTAGTACCGTGACATGTGCATAATAACTTAAGACATTAATAACAAAATCTACACCATGCTACTTTCTAAAAGAGTCATGCAGAACTGCTACAGAGGAGCTATTGCATAGCAGTGGTAACGCATTTATCTCCAATAACTTATACTATAGGAAGTCGTCAGTATTTAGAAACGTACTTTAGATATACAGTATATCACGAAGGACTGTTTACCAAAACCCATAAAGGATTTTCACGCCGTAGTTACTATAACTTTGAGTACCGTCTGAAATTATCAAGTCCAATTTTTTATAAGCATTGTCTAGATGTCACTACTGCATTTAACTAACTAATGCTTTCGAAGATTTGAACGCCCACTAAATTTAATTTACTTTTCAACTCTACTTTTCGTAGATCCCTTCAAAACAACAAAATATCTCATATAGCTATCAGCGCTTTTTCGATGTCGCCTTCATTAGACACATTGCAAGTTTAATGTTTTGTCAATTCCTCAGTATTTATTAATAAAATTATATTATTTAAGTTGATTAACCATTTTATTGTTCTAGGCATCTGAGTGGTAACAATTTACGTATGAAAGATATCTCATCCATCGAATTTAAGGGAAGAATTCTGTTCGTAAAAAAACAACATAATTATTTTGCTATCGATGCTCTTACATCAAAACTCGTTGATAAGTTGGTACGATAGATCAGTTATAGCCAAGGCTTACGTTTATATTTAGAGTCTATAGATGCTAATGCATCGATACCTTCCGATTAGACTAGAATATGAAGAATAGAATTTTTATTTTCGTAATAAATAGTCAGAACGTGTCCTAAATTCGTGTATAACTCACGTGAACTAGTTAATCAAACACTGTACTGATTGATCAGCCTAAGTAAATTTTGATAATCATAAGTCTAGTCTCTAAATTGATTTCTAGGTATTTCTATAGTTACCATCATTTTACAAGATATATTGCAATTAAACAGGATGAAATAAGTTTAATTTGTTCGAATTAGTTGCCAAGTATACATTCATATACTCTAGTTAATTATTTATGACTATTAGTATACTGTTCTTTCTTACTACGGATTATGACACGTCAATAATTTTTATCCGAAAATCGTATTGTGTCGCAAATACTAAAATTATAACAATATATCTTTTAACATTATTTAATTTCAGCTACGAATGCAAATAACTACGATTGATAATTTATTAAATCGCAACTATTCTCTACCTAGGAAATTAGCTGTTAACAAGTTCCCAGAAATTATCTTTCAAAAATTTCCAGCTATAGATACTTTTATCTTGTGCGTTCCCTATACTTTCCCTACACTTTAGTACTTTTTTAAATTTTGTATTTTATTGGGTGTTTATTTTCAAATTAAGTTCTTAATAATCTTCTTAACCCTATCAATCGTTGATTAGAGTTTTAAACTGGAATGGAATTGAACATATTCACAACATTCCATTTATGCCATCGTTATCAGTAATGTAGGTGAAAGAATCCATTTAATTACAGTAAATACTAACCAATTAATTAATCTAACAAAATCTGAAGGCAAAAATATAATTGTTGGATTAGGGTTGATTTGGATTTAAAGATAACTTAGTTTTGTTTCCTACACGCAGTACACGAGTATAATTCATATCTTTACTAATGTAATTTATCTTGGTCGCTATATTTCAAAATCAGAAATTTATCGAATAACCGAATTTATTCTGGCTCCGTACTAAATTTTGCTAATTTAACAGCCTTACAAAGCATGTAAGTACGCATTTTGTCCTCTTTGATGTTTTATAGCTAAACTACACTTTTTATCACTAAAAATGAAATCTTATGGAAACAAACTTGAAAAACATTTCTAATACTATTTATTTATAGTAATTTGGATTTCAACAGAATCACTTCTATTTCCAGCTCTTTCTTCAAGAGCCTATGGCATTTATCAAATTTAACCACCATGTAGGTCAATAAATAACTAAAATTTCTACAAAATACTGTAGAGCAAGATGTGCTCGTCATATTTAAGACTAGCTGTGATATATACCAATCACGAAATTCCAAATTTTAGAAAAATAAGGGCTTTTATTGAATCTTATACAAAGATTAACTACACAGCTCTACTCTAGCCGAATACTACTTCTAAAGACTTCTAGAATGAGCTAACAGAGTAATCTAAAGTTGCATGCTTTTATACTTTCCGTAGCATTCGCAGCTACAATCCGCATGGCAACCTTTTACCTTATTTTACACATAGTTAAATTATTCTTAGTAAGACTATTCTACTGCGGACCATCATTAATCCAATATGGATACGACTATGGTACTTACGTAGACATTATTCATACCAGCCAAAGTATAATGAATTAACCATATCCTAATATCTGATTTACAGTTCTATTTTTACCTATAGCTATATTAGTAACTCAACAGCTTACTGCATATAGTCATCTGTACTCTAGCATAGCGTCTCTACCACTACAGTCTATAGTTACAGCTACCAAATATCTCTTAGGATAAATATCTACCGTACATTATACTACACATGGCTAACAGTCTACAATCACAATACTAAGTTACATTACACTAGCACAAAATAAGAATGTAAAATATCCGTACCCTAATCGTTGCCAATATAGTGAATCTATTAAATATTTTGTTATCAATTGGAACTACTCTTTCAATATTAGTCTCTGTCCTGATATTTTATGTACCGCTATCATTTTTTTGTTACAAAATTGTTGATTACCATGTACGACTATATTACTTCTAGCTATGACTACAATTACTTTTTTCAATAAGGATAGATTCTAGCATAAATGGATTTTGCATGATTAATTAACGAATAAACAAAATGTTGCTATAGCAGTCACAGTACTTCAACAGTACCTGTACAAATTAATTATTTTAGAATAAGAGAATATGCCGGCTATACGATCACTGAGCTGCTAATACCTTTAAAACTATCCTTACTTCTATACTATTCCAGATTATCGCTTCATTATATTTAGTATTGATCATGCTATTTGTTATGAATTTATCGCCCTCACAATCTTTTAAAGATGATGCTTTTTACCTGATTTCACCAGACCATGGATATCTATTGTACATTACTCGAAAGAATTACGTAGTTCAATTACCGATTTATAAATGATATTTCGGAAATTAAACTAAAATTCTCTTGTCAACGAATAAAATCTATGAGGATTCTGATAAGAGTTTTATTTTAAATTCTATTTAGTACATTTCTGCAGCAAGTTACAATTCTAATACAATTGAATTCACTGCTATGAAGATGATATGTATGTTACAGAAGAATTAAACAGTGATTGTATTTATTAAATTTTAGGAAGTTAAATAATAACAAGATAAAAATTATAGCAGATGATGCCTTTAAGTCCTTAAATCTCGAACGATTGTAAGTTTTGTACCTTATAAAAATTAAATTTCGTGTGATATTTGTATCATCAATGGCTGCCAATTTAATATCTTAAATATATGATTTAAGTAAACATCAATAATTTTAATGCGTTCTGAAATGCAATGTAAAACCGTTTAAACGAGTTATTCTTTAAATGAAAATAGTTAGATTCTATGGCTTCACTTATGTAATTGCATAATTTAAGAATTTAAGCAGCTATGAGTTTTTTATTTTTCAAAATATCGTATTAAATATTTAAATTTAAGGCTCTAAATCATCTGTCCTGCAAAGACGTAGTGTTAGATATATGACCATCGGTAAGATGTACTTGCGTGGATTTCAAGCCAACAATTATATTGTTTGCAAAATGTCACAAATTGCCTAGTTTTAGTAGCAATAAGCTTTGAAATAGATGCATCTTCAAGTAATTAGACATTTTGAACCGGATACTGTACTAGTCGAATCAACTCGCAAATAACTTTTAATTCCTAAAGCCAAAAATAATTAAATATAGATCAATTTTCGTTAAAAATTTTATCTACAGATTCTAGTCCCAAGGATAGAAACTTATCTAGAATTTATTTCAATGCAAAATTCATAGTTATTACTAGATGCAAATCCAAATAGATAAAGAGGAAAAATTGAAGCAAGCTACTCACTGTGAGCCTACTTACACTTTCATCTTTCCTGACATTCAACAATAATAAAGACTATAATTACTGACGATCTATCCATAGTCAAGAAACTGCAGTAAACCACTAGCCTCGCTCAGATAATAATTGTACCTAAATTTTATTGAAACATCAGTGTCACAATCGAGATAACAATGTAAAGATTAACGGGATACTTTCCTCTAAAGCAGTCTTAACTATCCGTCTATGCAATTAACTCTAAGCACTTTTTAATCTACCAAACTTAGATTCGAGTCTTAGACGATAGAATATTCACGTGAAAGTCAAAACTTTATTCTAAAGGCTATTTATTAAAATGACCGATTGAACTCGCAACTTACAATCTACTACTAACAGCTGATAACCATCTGTTATTGACTAACTTATCAACTTCCTCAATTAAGAACTTTAAGGTTTTTGTATAGCCTCACAAATTTCGTTGGTGCAAAACAATAATGAAATTATAGCCAAATCTACATACTGAATACAGCAAGAATCGTAACACACTTTCTATGACATTTGATAGTAATTAATTAATAGCTAGGTGTTAACATACGATTCATTACTTTGAAAACGTAATAATTAATTGATTGTTACAATCAGTCAAGTTATAATACAGATACAATGGCAATAGTTATTAGTTCATAGATATTATTATAAAATTATGCAATCATCTAGTAAAAGTACTGTATTTAATACGTCAAAGATAAATTATTATCAAGACAATCCTATTCGTAATGACCAAGTGATGGTCTCCTTTTATTACTGTTCTGTACTACTGCAATTAACTGAAATCATTACACTACTGTAGATAAAATATTTTCTGAAAATTATGTGGCGGCTGCAGGATGAAAGTTAATCCGTAACCTTGCTTAAAAATGCTTTTTTCTACTGCAACTTAGATATCTTGATTTTAACATTTACTAGGGAATTAAGTTGCAATAGGCTAATCCAAATAAATTTTTTGGAATCTCTAAATAATTTACAGAACCTGTAAGTAACGAAGGTTAACATTTTGATCGTAATTCAAATTGATAATCTGTTAGTTCAGTTCATTCAAAAATATGGCCCATTAATGTAGCAATCATAATTACAGGATCTATCAAAAGATATCCTAGAATTAATACGTGCGTATTTAATGAATCAAAATTTTTTTCTAATTCCATATAAGCAACTTAAATGATAATAAAATCAGAAAGATAGCTAGGAGCGATTTACAAAATTTAAAATACTTGAAGTTGCTGTAAGTAGAAATAAGAAAACTACAATACATCCATATCTTAGTGAATTTTAATATGCAAGTCTATTGCATTTCAAATAACATCTACTATAAGAAAGCTTCAGAGTATGTATCTATTTGAAACGTAAGGGTATTTAACTATGATTTATGGGCAATAAAGCTTAATATTTAGCAACCAAATTTCTCAAATTGAAGGAAATTCTTTTGAAAATCTTCATAATTTGAAGGTCCTGTAAGTACTTTAATTCCGTAAATATGTATATATGTAGCTTTGAATTAATTTTGGTTATTTTACATCCGACATCTATAACGACATGCCTAGCATCTAACAATTGCTTATTAAATAAATTTTAAGTAATATTGCATATTTATAATCATGAAATTTATCGTTCAAATCAGCGATCTATCTTTTAATCCTTTATCACAACTGTCATCGAATACTTTCAATGGTTTGCATAACTTGTCTATTCTGTAAGTAGTATCTTTTAAATTTCTAAGCTACCTCTTGATTTGAAAATAGCATGGCTAACTTTTATATTACAACGTAAATTTTTTGTATAAATTATTAAATCTATGTATATATTTAGTTATCGTATTCTGTTCCATTTGGCTTCTATATTTATAGACTTTTAAAAAGTTGTGAAATCAAAAATATGACTGGCTTATTTCATGATTCCTTATCTAACTTAAAACATTTGTAAGGTGGCTTAGATTTACTATTAATTTGATTCGATATTCAGCTTATAAAAGATTCATAAGATATCTGACATAGTCTTAACGATAATGTATTATTAAACTGTCTATATTCTAGATCTTTAGCCAACAATCATCTCGATTCCGTCGATAGCAGAATATCCATCCCCTTGAAATCCTTAGAATCTTTGTAAGCGAATGCCTTAAAGCGATGAGCATTATTCAGGATACATGTCCATAATTATCACGACGCAAATGCTCCTTGAATAGTAGTATACATTTAAGTATTTGTGTCAAAGTAAATTTCTGCCTAAATAGGTTATTTTGATTAAAACTTAGTGATTGACTCGTAATTGAGAATTTTTCTCGTTAGTAATTGATTTTGTGGCTTTCACGAGAACATAGCATTGGTTGTATTAGTTGGAGTAAAGTAGAAGTAGCACAATGTTATTAAGTTTCTTTGTGTGATTTCAGTCTAGAAGGGTAGACCTAAGCTAAAATAGTAGCTGACAGTAGCAACCTAGAAGAGTAGAATACTTCACTTTATTCTTTTCCTGGAGAGTAGTCCGTGACAATAACATAGATTGTATGAATACAATTTTCTAGATGTATTACTCAAATTGAATTTTCCTTTTCTACATTTTGAAACTAACTTTTTCTTACACGGAAGGATATTGAGCAATAATCGTTTGGCATCATGTGGCGCTCATGAATTTGAAAACTTGAGAGAGATGTTAGTCTAATCGTCATACTGATATCAACTTTAATCTCAACATTAAATCAAAAAATTACAGATTCAATAATTACAATTATTTCCTCTAATCTAGATCTCTCAGTGATAATAAACTAGGGGAAGTTAATTTGCTTCCTTTCTTCAAAATTAAAAGATTAAGACTTTTGTAAGTAGAATTTAAGCTAACGTATAAAAAATTTTGATTATTGTGCATAATTGACGAAGAAGTTGATAATTATCTGTATAAGGCGATACATTTTATCCCCTATTTTTTATACTGTCACAAACCTGTTTTATAACAAAGCTCCCGTAAAGCCTCTAAAATCCAATATCCCTTAAACTTTCCACAATAACTTAGACACCTTTGCTTTTATATAATAAGATTAGAGAATTGATTTTATTTAACAATCTACCGAGCTGATATCTCTCCGGCAGCAGCTACCATTGATGGATTATCATTACATTCTAAGGGTTAAATTTTGCTTGACTACTGAATTAATTCAATAATATTAGCGGTAATAATACCTGCTGACTAATTCTGGATCAAAGAGGTACAAACGATGAAATTCTATTTCATGATTAATAGATAGCTGGACTACAATATGTTTATTCACAAAATCTTTTATAGATAATATAACTTCTAATGGGTTAATAATCAGGATCACAATCACTAGGTAGTACTAAGATTAATTAATCTTTATTACTATACAAGAATCTTATTACAGTATAACACGTACTTTACAGTGAGTAATTATAACCATAGTGATTCCTATTGCAAGTAGTTACTTGTAATTATCGTATACATAAGTTTTAAAATTCACGAAGCTCACGCACCTATTGTTCACGGTTGTATGTACCACCATATTCTTCCTATCCAACAACTTTTAAGACTTACTAAATATAATTTTATTTAATTACTGCATTCGCAGCATGCAACAAGTAGTGCATAGTAACACATTTCAGCCCTTGAAATAGTTACCATGTTACCACAGTTAAGCCTTTGTCATAACATACCTACGTACCGATTACGCCTTTTATATACCTCGCACAGTAGAATACGCGTATGTGAGCATTTCAATTTCTGATAGTTATGTTTAAGCAAAGTGAACGCTTATACCTCAGTAATTAAAATAATTCTTGTAGCATTTAATTAATTAACTTTGACTGAGCTTAAGGTAAGTCTTGCGATTATTTAGCACTTAATTGAGTAGTTACAATTATTATTTGATTGGATAGCTTATCTGAAACTGTTTGTTTTATCTGCATCTGAAGTTTCGCTATAAATTAAGCATAAGACGTCAAGAGAAAATTAGGTACTGTTCTGCAGTCGTTTAGATTGTTTCTCATTCGTAGTAATAAGCGTTTTCGTATTACTAAAGTTGTTGATAGTTTTCATTACATTTAGAATGCGTTCAGCAATAATTCTCTGCTAATTAGTATCTGAGAATTTGTATCTATATGTAATGAAATGAAAAGTGTAGAGATCAAGCTACAAAACTTTAACTAACTTTGATTCTGCTTTCGTTGCACTCCGGTCGACTTAACGCTAATACTTTGACACCAAATAAAATTTGGGGAAATAACCGAACAACAATTTATTACAGAACAAAAATGGAGAGAAGTATAAACCGAACAACCTTGCAAATACTTAGCTTTAAGTATTA